ATAGTCATTTATAGTTCGTCTGAACAGTACAAACATAGTATCTGCATGTTTCATTGCAGTTGTTAAAGCAATATCTGTTCTTGCACCTGCGGCTCCTGGATTTTGGTTTCCAACTTCACCTGCAAAGTCTTTGACAGATATTTGGTGTATAGGGAACATAAGTGGAACTGCAATATATTTGGCAGCTAAAGCATTTGAAATATCTGGGTCCAACATATAGACTGCAAGTCTGCTTTCTATTCTCTTGCATTCAAATTTCGCATGTGAACTTAACTGGGTCCCAAGCAGTTTGCAGCTTTCCTGAGAATAATAGTTTACTTCATGTTGAAGTTTGAGAAACCAAAGTCTAAGTCAACTTTCTCTTTGCACATTTTCCAATGGTTGCTGGCAGCTCCACCAGCTGTAATGTAATAGTGAATGGGTCTTGTGTTGGTGCAATGACTAAGTTATTTTTGCTTGGAGTAAGTTCGATAGAAATTTTTCCTGCCCAGTTTGGCAAGTATCTTAAAAACCTGAAGATGAGGAAAGATGACAAAGGAACTCTAAGTTTCAGTTTTACTTTACTGCTGCTGCAGTTTGTCCAGAAAGGTTAACATAAACTCCTGGAACGTTAGGGTCAAGTCTTCTTATTTTCTCAATATTGCATACTGGTCTGTTTGTTCTCTAGCTTGTGGTTGTACTGAGTTTCTCAAAGCGAACCATTCATAGTTTGCCCATGTTACTGTTTGAACTAAGTCAGAGTTAGAATATATCTTATATCCCATGAAAACTTCTGGAGCATATTGGTATCCGACATAGAAAATTCCATTGCAACCTTTCTTGTCAGACAACTTGGCAGAAGGTTTTATTTCAATGTCTTGTTCCACGTATAAGAATGAGTTGTCAATAGAAATAATATGAAACCTGTCGCAAGCAATATCTACTGTTGTTGAAGAACCTTCTCCAAACTCACCTACGTTTCCATAAGAAACAGCAGTTGTATATTCGTAAGTTCCAGGAACTATTTCTGACCTTCTAATGGCATTGTCGCATTCGTTATACCATTCGGAAACATTTCCGTTCATGGCATCCAAAACTGTTGGCGTTATATTCTGAGCGGCGTACATTTCATATGGGTAAAAATATAGAATAGTTGGATTTATGTGTCATAATAGAACCCACTCGTACCAAGCTTTACTTTCTTCCTGACTGAGTTTTTAATTTTAACTCTTCTTTTTCCTTCATTGCCACTACTTTCACTAGATGAAGTTACTTCTTCACTACTTTCACTTTGTTCTACTCTTCTCTTCTTCTTTGGTGTCGCTTTTGGTAACTTGCCCTCTGCTTCAAGTTGTTGCATCTTTGCCTCATGTTCACCTAGTATGTTGTAAATTTCCCATGTCCTTTTTGCCTTTGGGCTTGGTCGCCCATCTCAGGTAACCTATATCCTAGAAAGATTTTGTCATAGTTTGTATTTGAGTCTTCGCTTATTGTTTGCATGACTCTTTCCTGAGTTTCCGGTTCAAGCTCTTCAAATATAGCTTGTCCATATGGAATAAGCTCGTTTCCAAATATATGTTTTTGTAGCCATTCTGGTTTTCTTTCCATGTAACCAATAATATCTTTTGTGAACGGGAAAGCTTTTACCCAACGTTTCAGGCTTGCGTCGTTTATTTCTGTAGTTGGTTTTATTTTGTCATGGAACATGTTTTTCAATACTAACATTTCATTTGGTACTGTCCATTTGAGTTTTCTTAAATATTCATCCCTTCTCAGTTCATTGTCTGCAAAGTAAGTTTTTATGACATTTTGCAAACTTTCGTTTGCAAGGTCATGTACAATAGGTTCTCTTCCTTCTCTCTCCCTAACTTTCGTTCTAAACTCTTCACCAAATATACCATCTCTATGGTTCTGTGTAGTTCTTTGAGATAAATGTTCTAGAACGTCAGGTGTTATATTTCCCTCAGCCATGTTCATTTCATACTGGTCCAAAATATCTGCATCTTTCATATCTTTCAATGGCATTAAAGCCGCGCTGAAAATACCAGTTATATTGGTTCACCATTCAATTCCATTGCGTCTACAACTTCTTGGAATTGAGGTTGTAAGTTTATGAACCACCTATCCGGATTAGCTTTATGACTCCATCTCATTGTAGTTCCATAGTCTGCAGAAACAAAAGTAGGTTTGTTTCCATATTGGTTAGGTTCTGAATGAACTTTAAACAATGTTTCATTTCTATATGTTTTGTTGAAATTTAACCTTTTATTTTCACCGAGTTCAGCCAAAGATTGAACGTTATATGGTCGTAAGTAAAAAGGATTATTGTATTTGTGTACATTTTCTTTCAGTACTTCCATTCTATGCTGAATATTTTCATCTGATGTTGGAGTCTTTTGTATGTCGGTGAACATTTTTCGATATTCTTCTACTATGTCAGCCGAATTTTCTTAGACTCTTGGAAAGATTCCATATTCACCTCATACTCTTGTTGAGGGTCAAGATTTTTCGGCTGTTCCAAATCTTCATCTAGTTCTGTGAAGTTAGTTTCCAAAGGAGGGACTTGTTCGTTTCCTTCAGGCTCTTCTAGCTGTTGTTGCTGAACTATTTCTTCCATGTCTGGTTGTATCTGAACTTCTTCCTGTTGAGTTTTTGTACCTCATCTGCTGGCATTTCATATATTCCGAGACCGTTTTTAACAAGTTCCCTATCTAAGTCATCCGGACTCATAAACCTTTCTTCTTTCGTTCCGTCTCTATTTTTTATGCGTTTCATGAAGAGAGTTGAATTATCATTTAGCTCTGACATCAAATATCTCGGAGTAAATTCATTCATGTCATTTGGATGATATGCTATTAAATCATATCCCTTAGCGAGCTTGTATTTTCCAGGTTTGAGATTATATCCGATTTGATGCTGAACCATAAAGCTAAATAGGTTCGGGTCAGTATTTCCTTCCTTGAACTTTCTAATAGCTTCTTTATATCTGTCACTAAAGTCAAGAGTATCTGGGTAACCATAATCTTCCTTAAGCATTTTTAAGAATTCTTGGTTTCCTTTTTCTCTACTTCTTTTATGTCCTTGCTCTGTTTGTGGTTGTTGTTGTGCAGGGTTTTGAACTGTTGGTTGCTGTGCAGGGTTTTGAACTGTTGGTTGTTGTGCAGGGTTTTGAACTGTTGGTTGCTGTGCAGGGTTTTGAACTGTTGGTTGCTGTGCTGGATTTTGAACTGTTGGTTTTGGTTGTTGTTGTTGTGCAGGGTTTTGAACTGTTGGTTGTTGTGTTGGTTTTGGTGCATGCCTGTGTCTGTGTCCATGTGACGATGTAAATGTTTTAGGTAGTCCTGGTGCAGGTGCTTCTCTTGGAGGGTTTGGTGGTATATAAGTTCCACCAGCTGGCACATATGTTCCATCTGCAGCATAATGTCCTACCTGACTTTTCGTTTTTAAGAAAGCATTTACTAGGTCTGTTTTGGTCTGTTGTAACTCTTTTTCTTGACTTTCCACAACAGCTGCTCTAACGGCGTCATAGGCACTTTGAACTGCCTGTCTCGTTGCTGCATCTGTTATTTTCGTCATATTTTGTGCTACTTCTCTTAACTCCTTGTCGAAACCTTCAGACTTCAGTTTCTTTCCAGATGAGAAGTCGTTCACTAGTTTCACCTTACTATGAAGAGCTTCGAAGGCATTCTTAAAGTCAGCATTCATTAAAGCTTCATTTGAACTGTCTTCATCCGCTTGTATTTTTGTCCTTATTGACCCTATAAGTTGGGCTGCTTTAGCGTTGGCTTGGGCATCTAACCAGTCATTATTAGCTTATAATATCTGCGCTTTTCATTGCCTTTTGCATGGCTGCGTCGTTATTTTTACTTTCTTGTGCTAAGTTTTCATACTGTACGGTTTGGTTTTGCAACTGTAAAAGTTTTTCTGCCTTTACATTTGCTTCAACTTCTTTTTATACTCATCGCTATCCATATATGTCTTCAGGGCTTTTTGTTTTATCTCTTCATCTTTCAGTACTTTATATTGAGTAGTATGGTTTTTCAAATTTATAACATCTTGTTCCATTTTTGCTACTTCTGCTGCTTTTTCTGACACTTTTTTCGCATATTCCTCTGTACTTAGTTCTTTCAGTTGTTCTTCTTTCTTCTTTTTCTCTACGTTTAACTCATTGAGTTTCTTTGTGTGTCTGTCATATTCTAGTTTCTTTTCGTTTTCACTTATTTGCTTCTGTATGTCTATGTTTGACTTTTTGACATCTGTTATTTGATTTTTGAGTGAACTCAAATTCATTTGACTTTGAGGGTTATAAGCTGTTCCGTCTGCAGCTCCACCATAGCCTGCCATTTTCGCTAAAAGTGCCGCTCTTAAACCTCCACTCTGTGCACCAATAACTCGGTTTAAAAGCATAGGGTTGCTTGACATTTGTTGCAACATAGTGGGGTCATTCAGCATTTGTTGTTGCAACTGTTGTTGTGGTGTCAGTTTTACTATTGGATGTTTCAATGCTCTCTTCCTCTTACGTATATTCTTACGTAGCTTACGTGGCATTTTAAGTGAAGTTAAAAAGCGGTTTTTGACAGATGTTTATATGACACTATTTGTTCAGCACAAAAAACTACTCGTCAAAGTGTTGTCAGTTTTGTAAAATAACCGTCCTATCTCATTCTATAAGGGGAAAAAGGCTTCTCAAAGTTTACTTCCTTGGAACACCTGTAACTTTTCCTGTAGCGAGGATAGACCCTTACTTGTCCGGACAAAGTTATACTATTTTGAGTGCTCTACAAAAAAGTCAACGGCGACGACTCTCAAAAACCGTTGTGTAAAAAGTTTTACCGTTGGACAAAAAAAGTATATATAGAAAACAAAACACGTTTATAGTTCATTCAATATTTGAGATAAACCGTTTTTTTCCAACGGTAACTATTAAATAAAATAAAAAATAGAGGGTGTTACCGTTGACGAAAACTGTTTTTATTCAATATTCATTTTCCACAAACTTCTGGTCAGTTCATTTTTGTCTAATGCAAGACCACAGTAGTAGCATGACTGACAATTCTTTACAAAAGCTCTTTAAAGGTCAAACACTTATATCCTCATACTTTACTAGTATGTCCAAAGAGGTTACAAAGGTTTCAGTCCAATCAGACTCCAATCAGACACAAATTGAAGCTCAAATTCAACCAAAAGAAACTGCAGAAGTCGAACAAACATCAGAGCAACCTTCAGAACAAACAATAACACAACAAACTACAGAAGCTCAAGTTGTTTCAGTCCATTCAGACACAAATTGAAGCTCAAATTCAACCAAAAGAAACTGCAGAAGTCGAACAAACATCAGAGCAACCTTCAGAACAAACAATAACACAACAAACTACAGAAGCTCAAGTTGTTTCAGTCCATTCAGACACAAATTGAAGCTCAAATTCAACCAAAAGAAACTGCAGAAGTCGAACAAACATCAGAGCAACCTTCAGAACAAACAATAACACAACAAACTACAGAAGCTCAAGTTGTTTCAGTCCAATCAGACTCCAATCAGACACCAAACATACGCAAAGTTCAACTAAAAACTTACACTCCTACAGAACCAGAAGGTGTCTTCTCATTCTCAACAACAGAAGCAAGATATAGAAGACTCATTGCAGCTTATCCAAACAATTTGTCCTTAACAGACAACAATGACTATGATAGATATTTCAAAAGTATAATAAAACCAGTCGAAACATTAGAAAACAAAGTTCAAAACCCGACAGTAATGGTTGACTTTTTCTTGTCGAATTTGCCTTATGTTTCAACTATGATATCTCTTCAAGCAATTGACGAGTTCATTATTTGCTGTGAACCAAACTTAAGAGAACAGCTATATGAAACACTCAACGACTTTCGTCCTTATCCTTTAACTTACAATTGGAAAGAAGATGAAAACAAACGCGGTTCTTTCTCCTGGAATCTTTCCATTGTTGCTCCAGCTGGTGTAGCTGCACATCCATTCGAAATATATCCAAAATTGCATTACGAAAACAATATGCATATTATAACAACAGCCGCTTTAGAGATTCCTGAACGGATACCAGCTGGAGAAGAAGTTTCAATAATATCTGTTCAAGCAAACCGAGTTGCAATGCCACTTACAGTATGCAAATTCACTCACTCAAGCAGACAATTCTATCAAAATCTTGAGTTCGTTTTTACTGGCACAGCCAAAATGCTTCTCAAAAAACCAGAACAAACCACAATAACCATCTTCTTATCTGGTTATTGTGAAGATGAAGACAATTCGGACGAAGAAGAGGAGGAGGAAACAAGCGAAGACTCAGACGATATCCAGTTCATTTCCATCCGTAAAAAACATTAAAGCAAACATTTCAGAATAAAAATTTTAATTTTAATCTAAACAAAAATTTCTTATGGGCTAGAGGGCGCAACGCACCTGGAAGCCCCACTCACCTGACCTTTATGCACCAGTTAAACTTTTATTTTTTAAATAAACTATTTCTATTAAAAGATTTTAAACGTTTTTTTTTAATTCTTCACAGTTTCTTAATTTCGAGTTTAAAATGATATATACTAGAATATATAGATATGATTAAATTGTATGAAAGATTTTAAACGTTTTTTAATTCTTCACAGTTTCTTAATTTCAAGTTTAAAATGATATATATTAGGATATCTAGATATGATTAAATTGATTGGGTTTCATTATTTATTAATTTTGAACTCTATTTCAAATTTGATAAGATTTTTATATCTTTTAATCACTTCATTTATCAACATGGATGAACCATGCGATGAAGATATCATCACCAAGATAAAAGAATCCAGAAGGGCGAACATTGTTGTTACTGTTACACCTGAGAATTCCGACACAGATGAAGAGCCATTAAATGAAGAAGAGGCAAAAGAGATGACATTGACCAATCCAATGCCCAGGTTCTCGATTTCAATATTCATCAGGATGCATCCAAAGCTCCAGCTCCGATCATTGTGCAACTTCACATATGAACATTTGGAATACCTCGCTGACATTATTGAATCCAACTGTGGAAGGGCCAGAAGAGGAAGGAAGGTCAAATTTTCAACAATCGAGTCTCTCTTCCTCACGCTCACATATTACTGCACATACTTGCCCTATTCAGCATTATGTCCGTTGCTACATCTTTCCCAGTCATGCTATTCCAAATTAGTTACAAGAACTACCAATGTTGCATTTCCAATCTTTGAGAGCTATTTTCTTCCCAATCACTGTCCACCGTTAACTTCAATGAAGAACAAATTTACAAACTTCCCTGATGCTGTTGCAGCTGTAGACAGCACTACAATTCCTTTCAACATCCCTTCGGTAAAGGAAGAGAGGCTTTATAGTTGAGATGAAAAAAATCACTGCAACGGTATTAAGCTCCAAGTCCTCGTGTCACCAGATGGAAAAGCCATACATCAAAACGTTGAGTTTATGGCTGCAGTCCATGACAAGAAGATTTTCGATTTGTCAAAAGTCTCGGATTTTTTGACAGTAAAGCGAGGATTTGATGATTACCAATATCCTGTACTTGCCGACCGGGGCTATATTGGAATCCAGAAATATCACCTTACTGCCGTGGTGATGAAGAGAAGCCACGAAGAAGCAGACGTTGAACGCAACAACGCCATTGCCCAAGACAGGCAGATTGTCGAGCGTTTCTTTGCACGTTTCAAGTCATGCTGGTCCTGCATGAAAAATGGTTTTCGAGGTGAGCGCACATCACTTCCTCTGATCATATCAGGTTTAGTCGGTTTGACAAATTATAACATTGATGGATCACCCCTGAATGATAATGAAGAGTTACTCCTTTTCGAAGATTTTACACCAACAAAGGTTCTTCCTTCAAGCGATACCGTCGCTGCTGTTGTTGCACCCTCCATGAAACCATCAAAGCGGAACATCATTGCTGTCGCTCATCAAGCTGTCGATATCATACAGTCATCACAAGAGGCGAACTACCTTTACCCAATTAAAGGTGGTATTGTTGGTCTTCATAATATGGGAAATACGTGTCATTTGAACGTATGTTTACATGTTCTGTTCTACATATCCGAAGTGAGAACAGAAGTTTTGAAGGTTGCCAATCAGTCCTCTCCCATCGTAACAGAGATGTCAAGTATCTTTACAAATTTGAATTCATTGAAGTCCAAAGGATTAGTCTTCGTTCCCCATGAACTTGCCACATTACTTGGTAACTCAACATATGAGGCACAAGATTGTGATGACACGATGACAAGATTGATCACAGATCTCGGAGAGCAAATACCAGGAATCGGTCAACTCTTCCGAATCACTTACCGTGATAGTGCCAACGAACAAACAAATTGCTACTCGATTCACACCAGAATTGGAGAACCAGATCTCGATCATGCCATTCAATATCATTTGTCAACTACAAGGAACACATCATGGCCACAATTCTTGACTTTCGACATTCAGAGAGAGTGGCAGAATGATTCGATTCATCAAGTCATCTTTGACTTCCCGAAAAAGTTGACACTCCCAACAGTCGAAAGGCAAAGATATTAATTGATTGCAATTGTTGCCTATTGCAATTTTCATTACGTGGTCTTTTTGCAAAAAAGTGCATATTGGATCATGATCAATGATGAAGTCGCATACTCTGTTCCATCAACAGATATCAATGCATTGAAGGGATGCTCAACTGCTGAGATGCCACCTTTATGGTACAAGACTCTCGAACACAAATGGCTCGCAAAGATGCTCATTTATCGAATGGTGTAATAAACAGAAATTCATCAAAAGTGACGGCTCTCAATTTTTTGACATTTGTAAATTCTAAATTGAATGAGAAAAATGAAATAATACTAAGCATAATACAATATTCTAGATTTAATTATAATTAGGAAAAAGTTAGTTTTGAGAGTACTTTTCATAGGCATATAGAATGAAATCTTCTGAAAAATAATATCACATAAACTCATATTATTTTCTAATATATAACTATTTTATATAAAAATCAAATTCAATGATCTTAAAAGCGAAGGATAAACCTCAAAATTTACGAATATAATGAGTGGGAATATAATGCTTATCTATCATAAAACCATATGAAATATCAATTTTTGCTTTACGCCTAATTTTTGACGACAATTAGCAAAAAATGTTAAATGTTAACACTCAGTCCATTTGAATATGAAAAATAAAATTGACTTTGATTAAATGTTTTTATTTATCATGCAATTCTTCTTGCGACCAAAGATTTGAATAAAAGTTCAAAAAATAAGATAGCTTAAAAAATAATATACGGTAGTGTTTACTAATAGATGAATAGTATATAAATTCTATTAAAATGGATTTGATCCAAAAAAATATATAAAATTTGATCATAAATAAAATCGTTTTAAATTACTTCTTCATTTAAATAGGTCAGGTGAGTGGGGCTTCCAGGGGCTGCGCCCCTTCTAGCCCCTAAGATGTTGAGTATAAATTAAGTTTTTATTCGGAAAATTGTTAGTCTTCTGGTGTGAATTCGGAGGACTCTTCTTGGATAGAGTCTTGTATTTTCTCATCCTCTTCTTCCTCCTCCATTGCTTCTGGGAAGAAGCCTTCTTCTGGGTCGAAAACATTATATAATGTGTAATTTAATGACACATTATATCTTTCTTTGAGTTCGCTCCTGACAAAGAACTTAGTTCCAGGAATACAGAAGACTTCTGTGCGTTGGAAAAGCTGATGTCCTGGAACGAATTTGGCAATTAGAGACTTCTTTTTTCCGAATTGTTCAGGAGTTTTCATGACGACAGTAAACATCTCCATCTGCGAGGTCTTGTTGTTGTTCGGAAAGGTAAAGAGCAATGATATGAATGGTTGCTGCGTTGAATTCGAGAAAGTCGAATTCAAATTGTGTTGTCGTATAACATTCAAACCATTTTGTACAGTTGTCTCCGAACTCGTCCTCGTATTCATCTTGGTCATATCCGTAACTAAAGACTTGGAATTCGGCAATGCTCTTGTCGAATGACCGTTGGATGTTACGAGGAAGATTTTGACGAACTTGGTATAAAGTTCTCAACATTATAAGCTTAGTAAATGTTGGAAAATACTGAACTAGACATCGCTAAGCTCAATTGGATTTGGAATTGTCTTAGTAAGTTCAATTGAACTAGCAATTGCTTTGTTCAGAACTTCACAGAACTGAGTATTGTATGTAGCGTCTGGTTGTGTGTTTTCTTCGGCGTCTTTGAGATATTTAGAGCAAATTTGTTGAAGAATTTCTCTTAATTCGCTGTTAGACTTTTGGTGGTTATTCTAACCGCTGTGCCGGTTCTTGGAGGTTGTGGGGCTTTGGCTTTGGTTAGCGGTTGAGAATTGTTTGCGACACTTTTTCTTCCTTCCATTATGAAAATAAACTCAAATAAGAGTTTGAAATAAACGGTTTTTGTCAACGGTAACCCCCTCTATTTTTTTTATTTTATTGAAAAGTCTCCGTTGGCAAACCGTTCCATCTCAAATATTGAATGAACTATAAACGTGTTTTGTTTTCTATATATACTTTTTTGTCCAACGGTAAAACTTTTTACACAACGGTTTTTGAGAGTCGTCGCCGTTGACTTTTTTGTAGAGCACTCAAAATAGTATAACTTTGTCCGGACAAGTAAGGGTCTATCCTCGCTACAGGAAAAGTTACGGGCGTTCCAAGGAAGTATACTTTGAGAAGACTTTCCCCCTTATAGAATGAGATAGGACGGTTATTTTACAAAACTGACAACACTTTGACCGAGTAGTTTTTTGTGCTGAACAAATAGTGTCATATAAACATCTGTCAAAAACCGCTTTTTAACTTCACTTAAAATGCCACGTAAGCTACGTAAGAATATACGTAAGGGAAGAGAGCATTGAAACATCCAATAGTAAAACTGACACCACAACAACAGTTGCAACAACAAATGCTGAATGACCCCACTATGTTGCAAAAATGTCAAGCAACCCTATGCTCTTAAACCGAGTTCTTGGTGCACAGAGTGGAGGTTTAAGAGCGGCACTTTTAGCGAAAATGGCAGGCTATGGTGGAGCTGCAGACGGAACAGCTTATAACCCTCAAAGTCAAATGAATTTGAGTTCACTCAAAAATCAAATAACAGATGTCAAAAAGTCAAACATAGACATACAGAAGCAAATAAGTGAAAACGAAAAGAAACTAGAATATGACAGACACACAAAGAAACTCAATGAGTTTAACGTAGAGAAAAAGAAGAAAGAAGAACAACTGAAAGAACTAAGTACAGAGGAATATGCGAAAAAAGTGTCAGAAAAAGCAGCAGAAGTAGCAAAAATGGAACAAGATGTTATAAATTTGAAAAACCATACTACTCAATATAAAGTACTGAAAGATGAAGAGATAAAACAAAAAGCCCTGAAGACATATATGGATAGCGATGAGTATAAAAAAGAAGTTGAAGCAAATGTAAAGGCAGAAAAACTTTTACAGTTGCAAAACCAAACCGTACAGTATGAAAACTTAGCACAAGAAAGTAAAAATAACGACGCAGCCATGCAAAAGGCAATGAAAAGCGCAGAATATATAAAAGCTAATAATGACTGGTTAGATGCCCAGCCAACGCTAAAGCAGCCCAACTTATAGGGTCAATAAGGACAAAAATACAAGCGGATGAAGACAGTTCAAATGAAGCTTTAACAAATGCTGACTTTAAGAACGCCTTCGAAGCTCTTCATAGTAAGGTGAAACTAGTGAACGACTTCTCATCTGGAAAGAAACTGAAGTCTGAAGGTTTCGACAAAGAGTTAAGAGAAGTAGCACAAAATCTGACGAAAATAACAGATGCAACAACGAGACAGGCAGTTCAAAGTGCCTATGACGCCGTTAGAGCAACTGTTGTGGAAAGTCAAGAAAAAGAGTTACAACAGACCAAAACAGACCTAGTAAATGCTTTCTTAAAAACGAAAAGTCAGGTAGGACATTATGCTGCAGATGGAACATATGTGCCAGCTGGTGGAACTTATATACCAGCTGGTGGAACTTATATACCAGCTGGTGGAACTTATATACTAGCTAGTGGAACTTATATACCACCAAACCCTCCAAGAGAAGCACCTGCACCAGGACTACCTAGAACATTTACATCGTCACATGGACACAGACACAGGCATGCACCAAAACCAACACAACAACCAACAGTTCAAAACCCTGCACAACAACAACCACAACCAACAGTTCAAAACCCTGCACCAAAACCAGCACCACAACCAACAGTTCAAAACCCTGCACCAAAACCAACACAACAACCAACAGTTCAAAACCCTGCACCAAAACCAACAATTCAAAACACTGCACCACAACAACAACCAGCACAACAACCACCTCCACAACCAGCACCACAACCAACAGTTCAAAACACTGCACAGCAACAACCACAAACAGAACAAGGAAACCAAGATTTCTTAAAAATGCTAAAGGAAAATTATGGTTACCCAGATACTCTTGACTTTAGTGACAGATATAAAGAAGCTATTAGAAAGTTCAAGGAAGGAAATACTGACCCGAACCTATTTAGCTTTATGGTTCAGCACCAAATGGGATATAATTTCAAACCTGGAAAATACAAGCTCGCTAAGGGATATGATTTAATAGCATATCATCAAATGACATGACTGAATTTACTCCGAGATATTTGGTGTCAGAGCTAAATGACAATTCAACTCTCTTCATGAAACGCGTAAAAAATAAAGACGGAACGAAAGAAGAAAGGGTTATGTATGCGGATGACTTAGAGAGGGAACTTGTTAAAAACGGTCTCGGAATATATGAAATGCCAGCAGATGAGGTACAAGAAACTCCACAGGAAGAAGTTCAGATACAACCAGACATGGAAGAAATAGTTCAGCAAAAACAGCTAGAAGAGCCTGAAGGAAACGAACAAGTCCCTCCTTTGGAAACTAACTTCACAGAACCAGATGAAGATTTGGAACAGCCGAAAAATCTTGACCCTCAACAAGAGTATGAGGTGAATATGGAATCTTTCCAAGAGTTTAAGAAAAATTCGGCTGACAAAGTAGAAGAATATCGAAAAATGTTTGCCGACATACAAAAGACTCCAACACCAGATGAAAATATTCATCATAGAATGGAAGAACTGAAAGAAAGTGTACACAAATACAACAACCCTTTTTACTTACGAGCATATAACGTTCAATCTTTGGATGAACTCGGTGAAAATAAAAGGTTAAATTTCAACAAAACATATAGAAATGAAACATTGTTTAAAGTTCATTCAGAACCTAGCCAATATGGAAACAAACCTACTTTTGTTTCTGCAGACTATGGAACTACAATGAGATGGGGTCATAAAGCTAACCCGGATAGGTGGTTCATAAACTTACAACCACAATTCCAAGATGTTGTAGACGCAATGGAAATGAATGGTGAACCAGATTTAGCTGGTATTTTCAGCGCGGCTTTAATGCCATTGAAAGATATGAAAGATGCAGATATTTTGAACCAGTATGAAATGAACATGGCTGATGGAAATATAACACCTGACGTTCTAAAATTTATCTCAAAGAACTACACAGAACCATAGAGATGGTATATTTGGTGAAGAGTTTAGAAAGAGTTAGGGAGAGAGAAGGAAGAGAACCTATTGTACATGACCTTGCAAACGAAAGTTTACAAAATGTCATAAAAACTTACTTTGCAGACGATGAACTGAGAAGGGATGAATATTTAAGAAAACTCAAATGGACAGTACCAAATGAAATGTTAGTATTGAAAAACATGTTCCTTGACAAAATAAAACCAACTACAGAAATAAATGACGCAAGACTGAAACGTTGGGTAAAAGCTTTCCCATTCACAAAAGATATTGTTGGTAATGGAAAGAAAAACAGAATGGCTACAAAAACATATATTTGGAAACAAGTTATTCCATATGGACAAGCTATATTTGAAGAGCTTGAACCGGAAACTCAGGAAAGAGTCATGCAAACAATACGCGAAGACTCAAATACAAACTATGACAAAATCTTTCTAGGATATAGGACCTGAGATGGGCGACCAGAGCCCAAAGGCAAAAAGGACATGAAATTTGCAACATACTAGATGAACATGATGCAAAGATGCAACAACTTGAAGCAGAGGGCATGTTACCAAAGCGACACCAAAGAAGAAGAGAAGAGTAGAACAAAGTGAAAGTAGTGAAGAAGTAACTTCATCTAGTGAAAGTAGTGGCAATGAAGGAAAAAGAAGAGTTAAAAACTCAGCCAGGAAGAAAGTAAAGCTTGGTCCACGTGGGTTCTATTATGACAAATAAATCCAACTATTCTATATTTTTACCCATATGAAATGTACGCCGCTCAGAATATAACGCCAACAGTTTTGGATGCCATGAATGGAAATGTTTCCGAATGGTATAACGAATGCGACAATGCCATTAGAAGGTCAGAAATAGTTCCTGGAACTTACGAATATACAACTGCTGTTTCTTATGGAAATGTAGGTGAGTTTGGAGAAGGTTCTTCAACAACAGTAGATATTGCTTGCGACAGGTTTCATATAATTTCTATTGACAACTCATTCTTATACGTGGAACAAGACATTGAAATAAAACCTTCTGCCAAGTTGTCTAACAAGAAAGGTTGCAATGGAATTTTCTATGTCGGATACCAATATGCTCCAGAAGTTTTCATGGGATATAAGATATATTCTAACTCTGACTTAGTTCAAACAGTAACATGGGCAAACTATGAATGGTTCGCTTTGAGAAACTCAGTACAACCACAAGCTAGAGAACAAACAGACCAGTATGCACTATTGAGAAAATAAGAAGACTTGACCCTAACGTTCCAGGAGTTTATGTTGACCTTTCTGGACAAACTGCAGCAGCAGTAACCAAAGTAAAACTGAAACTTAGAGTTCCTTTGTCATCTTTCCTCATCTTCAGGTTTAAGATACTTGCCAAACTGGGCAGGAAAAATTTCTATCGAACTTACTCCAAGCAAAAATAACTTAGTCATTGCACCAACACAAGACCCATTCACTCTTACAGACGTAGAGGGAACAAATAAACGCCATTCGCCGAACTTTTGCAAAGACAAAGTTGACTTAGACTTTGGTTTCTCAAACCTCAACACTGAAGTAACTATTATTTCAATGCTGCTGGAATGCTTGGGACCCAGTTAAGTTTACATGCGAAAAATTTGAATGCAAGAGAATAGAAAGCAGACTTGCAGTCTATATGTTGGACCCAGATATTTCAAATGCTTTAGCTGCCAAATATATTGCAGTTCCACTTATGTTCCCTATACACCAAATATCTGTCAAAAGACTTTGCAGGTGAAGTTGGAAACCAAATCCAGACCGCAGGTGCAAGAACAGATATTGCTTTAACAACTGCAATGAAACATGCAGATACTATGTTTGTACTGTTCAGACGAACTATAAATGACTATTCTTGTTTTCTACAACCCCGGTATTAAATATCATATAAACATAGATGGCAAATATTATCCAAGAGAAGAATATTCTACAGTTGAGGATATGAGGTCATACAACTTGACATTAGATGCTATGAACTTTAACAACAACTTCACAACAACCATTAACCCTTGAAATGCAAAGTTCTATTATTTGCCATATGTGAAAGTTGGACTCATACAGGAGGTCAAAAAACTCAATATACAAATGGAGACCGTTTCAAACTTTTGGCTTGGCATTCCATTTGCTGACTCAGAAGACTTTATGGGTGGTATTTCAACTTTGGTACAGTTCTTACAAATATAACAATATACTGGTGACAGAGACGGTCCAGATGAATTGAGAGCAAAGAAGTTTACAAAACCAATAGCACTTTTCACGGAAGATGCTCTTTTGAAGATTCGTTCGATGAAACCTGCTGGGGCTCCTCAGATTGGCATAACGACAGCTTCCATCGAGCAGATTTTGGCAGCAGGTCAGTAAGTTGTTCTTGAACTGACTTCTCTCCGTCAAATATTGACAGTACGCCAGTTTTGACATAATATTGTATTATAAACTTTCCTTTAGAAATATCTGTAAGTTTTGAAGTTATATTTTTGTCTGCTTCAAGAACTTTCACCATTTCAGTTTATACCAACTTTCTTTGCTTTATGAAAATATTTTGGTTCAGCAAAGACTGCTATTCTATAACATTTTCCATTGTTTGTGTAAAGAACTATTCTGTCAATGTATTTGTATTGTTTGTGTGTGTAAACTTTGTTCTGCTTCAATTCGAAGAGATATCCGAATACGTCCATCTTTTTATTCTAAGTAAAATGTCATTTCCGAAAAATAGAAGCGTAAGTGTTTCAAAAGGTTTAATGGCGGTGGCAGATGTGAAGTTAAATTCACCAACTCAAACAAACAGTCAAAGTGTTATTGTCAATGTCAAAGAAAGAGATGTTGAAGTGGGGAAACCATACGAAGACGAAGATGGTATAACAATTGTTCCTGTAAAAGAACAACCAACATACCCTGAAGTTAGCAGAGACTTAAGTTCTGTTGCAGATATTCGAAACGACTACCAACAACTGAAAGACAAACTTCAAACTCAGGAGAAGATTTGTCAAGCTTTAGGTATAATGTTAAACTTGGTCGAACACAACCCTGTAAAAGTGAACTCATATGTCATTGCACCTCATGAAGTTTTGAAAGAACTATTGAAACTTTTGACAGAGGCAGACGATATAAACATCAAAGAAATAGAACCCGACGTTAGTTGCTGTGGTGTTTCATATAATGTCATTGACAAGATATACGTTATGAAAGGAGGTGAAACGTTGAACTTAAAATATAGTTTCCCAGACGTTATAAAAATATTTGACGACCACAACATTTCATTAAAATTTATTTGCTAAGTAAATGGCAGAAGACACAATGGTTTATACTATTACGACTAAAAACCCTGAGTCATATAATTCTATAACAACAAACTTACAAAGTCCTCAAGGACGATATTGTAAACTAACCTTAAACACAATGACGACTAAAGCTTGTTTTGCTCTTTTGACACCAGAAGATTTTATTGTTGTGAATGGTAAAAAATACTCCTTTGAAGATACTTACTCAGATATACCACCAACAGGTTTTGTTGACTTATTTAATACTTTAAGGACGAGTGTAACATGTGCTGCAACTAGAGCAGGTTTCATTATGTTTGGATGTCCGACTGAGTTTACTATAAACAATATGAGCTATAATACAAAACTTATATCTGGTTTTTACTACCAACAGTTTCCTATAACAGGAAAAGGTGTCATACAAGGAATGTCTGTTCCATTGACTTTAAGTACACCTATTTTATATATTGTTTCAAACTTAGGTTCAAAGTGTTATTCGAATGTCGACAGAAACTACTATGACCAAAAGATACTTATGCGTATAAACAACACTTTCTCTGCTGGTTTGCCTATTGTTCATTCGAATGCAGAGTT